CTGCAACGGAAACTAATTGATTAATATCGGTGATGACTTCACATGAAGTCTGGAAGAAAATCAGTAGCAAGTTTTGTCAAAAAATCTAACAATATACAGATCAGAATGAACAGAGTGAATAATTCCGATTATTGCATAACTAAGATTAAAGGAAAATATATTTTTTTATAGTCAAATCATTACTTAACCATTAACTAAAGCCAATCAGCACTAGTAATGATACAGCAAACAACTGACAGAGAACTAAAATTGGAAGCGGTTAATTTAAAATAGCTATTACCACAGTTTATCCATCATGAAGCATTCACGGTGTAGCAAAATAAATGTAATATGACGGTAAAAAATTAATAAATAAACTCTATTAGATGGTAAACGATTACAAGGATAACGGGAAATAATCAAATCTGTATTAAGAAATTATTAATATACTGAAGATATCAAATGTGAATATTTACAATAAATCTATCTATTGATGATACATTCCCCAATATCGCAACTTCACAATACATTTATTTGCAAACATGTAGAGATGAATGAATTCTCATCATAACAGTAACAGTAACAATTGAACGAGCAATAGCAACAATCATTTTGCAATAAGCATTTAATTTAATCGACCTAACAACAATGAACGAAATAAGAAGTCAGTAAGCAGTAGTAGCAAACATTAACAGAGAGCCTCTCATACGTCCCTCGAACCGATGAATTGTGAAAATATATGCCAGCAAAACACGTCAACAACCCATCCACCAAGACACACATACACATATATACACACACACGCACACCCACATACATACACATACACGCACACACCGATATATGAATAAACTGGACGACCCCCAAGCTACTCACCACGACAGCAATAACGCAAGAAAAGAGGGGCGCTGTGCATCTGGCGAATGTCCAGCCGCCCTTCTATATCGATCGACCGTGTCTTAGGCAGGCGCATCTCACCCTACTACTATTTAGTACGCTTTCCTCTACATCTCATGCAGGGTCACTTTCCATCTGCAGCTCTCTCTGAGGTTTCTCGGGGGTTTCTCGATGACACTATCCTTCTTAATAAGTGGATCACATCCTCTCAATCATCATCACCACCCCCAAATATCATCTTGTATGTGTCTTTATGTACGCCTACACACACAAAACAAACATGGAAGGGTTGGGGATCGGTGCTGTTGGATTATTTCACGTACACACAGACATAAACAGACACAGATATATATATACACACATACACACATTCACAACTACCTCTTTGTCGACATTGCTGGGGGACTTACGGCTTGACAGGATTGTCACCCTATACTACCCCGTGAGTATTTACAGGGATGGCATCATAGCATGCATGCATGAAACACGCACCCATATACACACACACACACACACAATGCATGCCATTCATGATGGTTGTCATATCGATGAAACTTAACCGGAACAGTCTTGAAATACACAGATTCAAATGAGTGTTTCGAAACAGGCGGCAAGTCATTTACACGAATCGAAGGCCAAGGCATACTATGTGAGACGATAGCTGGAAAATCATTTAGATAGCATTGTAACACAAAAACTGATCCGGTCTGTTATCTGCAGTTAAGGATTATCTGGAACTGCAAGGATTTCTTTATTTTTGGATGCTTAGGAGAAATTACACCTATCAAAGACTTCAATATAAGTTAGCTTTCCCTTCATGATTATATAAACATAAAACTGAAATTCAAGTTATTGATCACATTTCCGTTAATCCAGAAGATGAGGACAAGCGAGTGATTTTTATAAATATTTTGCAAGAATGACTTGTTCTCGTTGTTTTAACATTGTTATTCGGTGAGTAATTCTTAAACTGCAAATGCTCGTATTTCACTCTCGAAGTACAGATAAAAGATCTTTTCATGTTTCTTGCTCTCATATCATCCAGTTAGGCTAGCTGGCATTGAAAATCCTTGCTAGTAGAATTCCTTGAACATTACTTGAATATCGGAATATTGCGCGGAACAATTCGTTAACGAATATTATAACAGATCTAATCTTCTTATCAAAAATTCAGGTATAACCCTGAAAATTTCCGCGAATTTTCACCATTCTTTTTCCGTGGAAAGGGTTTACAAGATGTTATGGGAAATGAAGCGTAACTTGTTACTACTAGCAAGCTAAAGTTCCAATTTCAGAGGTGATCGTAAATAACCTGCACTCAATTCATAGTAGATCAATCAATGTAGGAACGAGAACATGAACTGTCGTACAAGTCTACATAATTATGTAATTGATTTCTTGTATAATTTCGAAATTGAAACGAGGTTGCCTCATTATTTGATCTTAAGAAGTAGAGGATCGGGAATGAAAATTTTTGAAAAATCAACCTTCAAAGAACAGTAACCATTCGAAATTCGCATTTGTAATTCTGTTGCGAATTCGGAAATTTCAATTTTTAAATTTTATGTCTTTTTGGTTCCTCCATTAAATTATGGTAAGAATTATTAAAAATTAGTTATTTCTGAAATCTTCAAAAGCGATATATTTCTGCCCACTCCTCTCTAAGTTTCTTTTAATTTTTAATTGGAAAAAAAAAATGAAACCATAGTGAATTTCTATACTGGTAATTTCTGGAAACAAAGAAAAAAATGAATCCCTCGCCTGAAATTAAGAAATAGATGAATACTTTCTTCCTGTTGAACAAAATGTAAATTTAATTCCAAAAATTTTAGTGTAGTAGGTAGGACTCCTTTTCTCCTTTTTAAATGTTATGATTGAAGCTTGTGGAAGAATTTTAGTAATGCTTTCCACAGAAATAGCATCTAACATTGCTAGCGAAGAGTTCATCTGCGCTATTGTCGTCCAGTGAGCGCAATTATGATCTAAATGAAAATGATGACTTATATCTCTTTTGATGTATTTTATTAAAATATAGTCAAATAAGACTATCAAGTATCTGGAAGATGTTTGCCATAAGGTCACTGATGGATAGTAATAGAGGACTAATAGGAATTGGAAAGTTTTTCACAGAAAAAGAATATTTTTGGAAATTTTTGAAATGCCCGAAAAAAATGATAAATCCTATCCATAATATAATCTGTTGCAAACGTAGTAGTAGTAATTGCTGAGAGAAAAGAAATCATTGAAGAAGTTTCATCAACAATGATCGATGAACGTTGCTATCTCATTCGAAATGCAAATATTGAATTAAGTTTAAATGGAGTGAATAAAATGCTCGCAAAATTGCAATGAAATGTGAAACTGTATCTAAATAAGTTATATTTGATGAGATTAGGCATCACTTCTATAAATTAATTTATGAATCTTTCAAAATGATAAGTTGGAGTTAGAATCTGTTTCGCAGTACTAAAAAAAGATAATATGTTTCTACTTTAACTTGTAACCTAAGTGAGATGACCTTGACCCTAAAGATATCTTCCTCTCTTTCTCACACACACACACACACATACATACACACACACTTATACAATGACTTCATTTTTTTGAGCTTCATATAGTTGAAATAGAAGGTATACGAATTATCCATAAAAGAGAATCCTTCAATAGCATAATGTACGATGGTCAGAAGGAAAAGCGGCATGAGAATCTAACAAAATAAGTCTAAGCTAAAATCCGAAAAAAAGTATCTGATGTTATGTGAAAAGTATTCATAATAATACTCGCTGATGATGTCAACAATGTTTGTCAAGCATTTGGCCTTTAGTTGTCGGCCTTCATCCCTGAAAGGTTCAGTCAATTTAAACTTGATTCAATATTATATTCCAGTTAGGATAAGAAAAAAAGAAAGCAGCCAACGGAAGATGAGATCATTGGATTGGAAAAGAAATTATCATTTTATTCCTGATAATGAATTGTCAAGTGTTCATCAGGTTCTCTTAATAAATCTATCTGATTCAGCAAACAATAAACAAATATATGATCAAAAGTCAAAGATTAAAGACCACCGTTATAGAATTGCCAACTGCTTGACCTTTAAGCAATTTAATGATAACCGCTACGTAATTCTACCACCGTTCCAACGCTACAAATGATGCATGTTTCATATATCCAACTGTATTAACATTCCAGTCCTGTTCCACAAGAAACGGCTGTTTGATAGGTTGGAGAACGGATTATAGCCAAATAACCGATAATTACTACAAGTATTGCTGCCAAAAATCAAAATCTGCAACCATATCAAAAAGTTCACACATTTGTTGGCTTATTTACCCTTGCCACATGGGATTGTTGCTAGCTGTGAATGACCAAAAACATAAAGCATTTTTTTCAGTGAGATGATTCAGAAAGTTTAATGAAAAATATATGCACATGGACAATGCAATAATTGTCTATATTACAGGATGGAAATAGTTAAAAAGCCAATTACAAGTAATGATTGTTTGTGTTCATCATTTGGTGACAGTAATATCTTATTGGTTGCAATAATTTATTTATTGATAAATTATATCAAATTATCCATGGAAACCATTCTACGAATCTGGACGAATTCACAAAATGTTTTGCGGGGTCACTTACTATGTTCTTGTTCAGAAATTAAAGTTATAACGGTCATCATCTGGTTCCCTCATCCTAGACATTTGTTTTCTTTAACATTTCAATAGTCATTCTTCTGGCCACGTCACTACGAACGAACATCTTCACTTCTTTAAACATGTGATTAATTAACTTGGTACCCCCACTAAACAGTAGTTACTTCTAGTAGAAAAGATTGTTAACAATTTAAATCAATCCATATGCATGATAACAAAACAGACATAATTCAGTATTTATGATAACAATAAAAATTCAAAAGTAAAAATCAGACAACGACAAAATTCAAAGGTAAAAATCACAAGATCGGAAGTGCAAAGTTCTATGGTATTAGATTAGTTACAGGATAATATTATCGGCTAAAAATGTTGCCATTTTCCAAGAATAAATAGACTGGCACCGACTGTTTATTAGCTTCTCTTCGTCATACTTATACAATGAAGTTCTTTCTTCTCTACACCTGTTTTAACATTCTAATCAGCACTGTCTGATGAACTATCGCCACGGTAATCTGCTACTAGTGCTAAAGGTTTACTGCATACTTCTGACTTCACAACAGGAACAAATTCATCGTTCATATCGGCTAAATTCATCTGATCAGCGTACAGTAATTCTTCAGGTTCAAGCTTGACATCAACCAGATTTCCCTGAGAAATTATGTTAATAGAAATACATTTTTTCAAACTTTAAAATATATCAAAATCATTGAGTCAGAAAAGCAAAAATAAGTGCAGAATGGGGAACTTCCATAAAAGAAGAAAGTTCTTTAGGTATTTCGAGTCTTTAAAATCCTTTTAAAGTATTATCTATACAAATTATTACCTTGTCCAGAACACGTATTTCATTATGCTCCTTGTTTTCGTATTTTAATTTTTTGACAATGCCAAGACTTTCGGCTATTAGTTGTTCCTGTCCATTGTGTGCAGATGACACAGTATCAAAAGCATTTCTACGAAGTTTCATAGACAATAAGTGCTTTTGTGCCATATCATTCTTCGTTGAAGTTGATGGTTGACAACTTGAAAATATGGGCTTGCTTAATATCGCCTTACGTTTCTCTTCAAACTGTTCTTCAGAAACTAAAAAATAGCACAGTCAATATAATAAAAATAACGTTTCTTTAGAATGACAAATAAATCATATAGTTTTCACTGAGTTATTTCAGCTAAGGCTTATTCGGAACAGCAGAGAAAGTCCATTGTCTACATAGCTTCAGAAATCTTAAAATTTTTCCAATGTATAAAATCGTTCCGTTGGTCTCTTTAACTAGGAAAAAATGTTAAAATGTTACGTAAATTTCATATTTTTATACCGCAAAACTGCAGCAGCGAGTTTTTTATCCTCAACATTTTCTGATACTAGCTTAATGTTCAAAGACATCCTCTTCAGCAAGTCTTCATCTCTGACTCTTTCCTCCTTCAAACCATCTTTTTCAACCTGAAATGACATAATTTGTAACAGACTAAAAAAACAGAATATAAAACATATAGCATGAAGAACAACAGAAGTTGATCTAGAATGATCTTCATTTGAAAAAACGCTACCTTGAATGACTTCCTTAAAGCTTGATTAGCGGCAAAATCATCTCGCATCCTTTCCTGAATCCATTCCAATTTACCAATCTTATCGGCTGAACTTGCTGCCTTTTCTTTGTCCTGTTCTTTATGCTCAACCTAAATTCTACAATTTTTCATGAAACCCAATATCTGTTAACAAAAATCTGCACCACTATTGGAATTCAACTATACGGCTCTATTAGTTAATTTCATCTCGATTTTCTTTTGAATATTTATCCCTCCTATTTTTTTGTCACTCGTATTATTTGAAAACTACAAACAAATTAACATATAAAATTGCTGTAATATAGTAAACTAAAATTAAACCTGGAACATTCGATCGCTTTCCAACTGCCTGCTAAAACCTCGATCAACGGCTCCAAGCTGATCGATCGTAGATGGATCATACCGTTTCTCCTGTCGACGACAGCCCTCCACAAGCTCATAATCAAAGTGCTATAAAGCTTTCTGCTTCAAAATAATAGTAAACACAGCAAATTAAGTGGAAGGAAAATAATGTAAAGCATCACGAAGCATAAGAGTTCAGAATAAAAGAACACTCCACATCCATAAAAACTTCTGAGGTTGTTTAGAAAAATTAACCTCAGGATCTGTGCGTATGACGAAATAGTTGTCACAAAGGTGGCATTTCATACGGAATTCATATAATGGTGTCGTATAATACATTCCGATTTTCTTCTTTTCAGCATTATACCGTACACCCATCCCAATATGATTGTTGCAACCAAGACACCAAATATTGAATGGCATTTCAAAACTAAAATTGAAAAAATAAAATATAAATATCTCATAATGACTTGATAAAGAATTCAATGGACAAAATTTGTAAAGGTAACTCACAACGTGTAGAAAAATAATTAATGATATGAATTTACATCAACTTTGAATTAGCAATCTACTAAAACATAAGAATTCTTACAATAATATCAATACTTCAGGAAATCAAATGCAACATACCGTATAATGAGAATCCCCTGCTTGATCTTAGCAGCACGTTCTCGTAATGCATGTGTCCCATGATAGCTGTTTAAACTTTTATGCTTCTTATAATCAAAGTCCGGCGGATAATAGAAATTCTGTCCTTTACGTTCACCCATACTCTGCAAAACTTTGTAAAAACTTTCAAAAATATTATGTGAGAAACCTAAGAAATAAGAAAAACAATTCCTTCATTCAAAAAATGTTCACCAATTCGGGAACAATCAATTGTAACTATCAAATGTGACTGTCCAACCTTATTTGGAGCAGAACTCATTTAAACGAAATACATCCCTCTATTGAAAGTGAAAATATCATTATTTGTAATATACTACAGTTAGAGCAAAATTCGAAATTATTTAAGAAAATCAACATTTTATTACAAATGATTCTTACAAAATAACATAGCACCATTTCTATTAACTTCGTTATTTTTGAGGATATATAACTTATGAATATATATATATAACTTATGACTTGAAATATACATTCTTCTATGATTTGTATTATCGTAATATAGGATTAAGATACACAAAGCTTAGACCAAAACGAAATTAAAGTAATTCTCACTCATTTTTATTTTAACCTATTGTGGCACAAC